ATCTTTGCTTCAACTTACAGCAGCTGTGGACGTGCCCCACGTTGGGCAGTGGAGAAATGGGGGTATTTCTGTCTCTGTAAATAAGGGGTGGGAAATAGGCAATGTCCTTCTATCAGCTGGGTAGAATTTTGCCATCCACCGCAAGTGCAGGTGTGTCCTGCACTTGCAATCTGGGGACTGTTGGACAGGATTGCCCTGCAAAATCAGATTCAGGCCAAATTCATATGAGCAATTGGATTAGTTTGCATACCCTCTACTTAGTACCTAAAACAAGAGACGACAAGAGCTTAGAAACTGTTTGCTAAGGAGTAAAGCGAGACATGAGTCACACATAAAATCAGCATCACCCACATGAGTGTGAAACTACAAACTCCTGCAATGAGATACAGCGTTGTCAACATAGAGCTCAGTAACTTCCAAGAACTTACCTGAATATAAACTGGCTTCCACTCCAGAGGAACACCACTCTGTAACGTGTCAAACCAAATGAAGTGCAGCAGAGATACAACAGATAATAATTGCTTTTGAGAGTAGTTTTCAACAGAGCTATGTTATGATGAATTTTCCTGGCAATACATTGCTGAGAAGGCGCATCCTGTTCTGCTGTAACCGAGAACATGAGCTGGCCGCTCGCCAGGCTCGTGCCAGTGTGGTGCTGGAAGGGGCTACGACCTCCTGGGCAGATCCCAAGTACATTTCTGTCGCTTAATGGTGACCAGTTAACCCACCGAGGTTTCTGGTCTGCTGAATGGATTTCCCTTGAGTCCTTTAGAGCTCTCTAGCAGAAACTGACCCCTTTTATTTATTAATAAAAAATTAGGAAAAATACAATGCAAATAATAGGCTACTAACAATAAATGGAGTTTTAGTGGTCTCTAGATAGCAAGTTTATGCCCTTCCCTTCTTTCTGATCTGATGATGGGTTTTGTTTAAACCTCCAGGTGACCGTCCTCTATGTTGTTTACTTATTCCAGCTCCACAAGAGCACCACCTTCAAGGGAATGAGAAAAAATGCAACCTCAGTGCATGCCACAGACATTTTACGTAGCAAGCAGGACAGCACACATCAAAGGATTTACTGTGAAATCATCTTGCAATCAGCATAGGATTGATCTCCATAAACCACTCTTGACAGCAAGCATGTCCTTCCCAAGGAGTTAGATGCCAGTTTTTAAAACCGAGGAAAAAAAAATGTGTATTGGGACTGTTTTTTCAGCCTGTTTGCTACGTTTTTTGCATTCTGTCCCATGTTGGTTTTACAGATATTAGAATAAAAACTGTAAATGAACAACCTGGATACTTTGACAACAGAAAAATCCTAGGTATAGAATATCATCTGCGTTCAAGGCACCAAATACTACAACAAAACTCGTGTTTACAAATCATTTCCTTTTTATTTTAAATCTTTCTGAGGGGAGTTACATCATTTACCATATATATATTATATATATATAAAGTATATAGAGAGATTATTTGTAAATAGAAAAATCCTATGGAGAAGAATGTCAAGTTTTCACACTTTAAAAAAATCATTAACATAAAGCCATGTTTAATGCTTGTACAATGTGATGCAATAAATTATGCATATGAAATGTAAGCTGTTGGGCATTTATGAGTTATTTTTGTTTATTTTATTTGTTCAGCAAGCAAACAGACCAGTTAGGTGGAAGCTGATTTAGACGCAGATCAAAAATGGCCAAAATCTGTCAGTACTCTCTCTGTGAATCCTTTATGTACTCCTCTAATCAATTGTTCTTGTTGTGGGTTTATATCTTTAAGTTCCTGCTTGTTTTGTCTCTTGACCCTGCCAGATGCTGCATCTACGTGCTCCCACTCCCACAGAACTCATTGGTTTTGAGCATCCTGCATCTCTTTGTCCAGGAGCTTTTATCCAGGAGAGATGCAGGATCAGGATGCAGGAGTGTGATGGAGACACCAAAAATTATCTGGCTGCATTTACACAGACAAGACCCTGGCTGAGGGTCTAACTAGCAGGGGAAAGTATATGATCACAGAGAAAATATTACCCAAAATGCTTTAATTCGTGAGGCCAGTTAACACAAGCAAATAGAAAATAAATAAAGCAGGAGTCATGTTGTAGCTCTGCAGCAATCATGGAATGTTAGTTAGCAAGAAATTAGGTATTTGGAGGGGTCACGTGCAAAGGTCAAGAATGTTTGACTCTGAACTGCTTACAAGGTGTTCTCCACAGTGAAAACTTATCTTGACATTGTGGTTGTGGACTAACTGATATTATCCAGCCTAAACTTTCACCTCATACCAAAACTAGAGTTAAATGACTGCACAGTGCTCCAATAGTGCCTTTGAGCAGTAAGTAAACCTAAGCTGGTCATTTATATGTTTCCTCTGTTTTAAACAACTATGTGAATTCAAAGCATTGTAGTGCTACATTTTTAAACTATGAGAACTGGGAAGATTATTCTTCACTCCATGAAGTACAGGAAGAAGCTGCAGATCCACCAAGACAGTTTAAGGCAGTATCAAGCAGAGCATAGATGGTGATCTCGGCACAGAGTGGGGCCAGAGGCCGTGCTGATGCCGTTTAACGCAGTTCAGGAGCTCAGCGTCTGTGCTGGGAGGGCTGGAGTGGTACCAGCAGGCACACAAGTCAATTGCTACAGGCTTCTGTTCTCTCTGTGCACAGCTTATTCTGTGCCATAAAGCGCAGGTACATGGGGGCACACCAGTCCTCTTCACTTGATTTCAGCACTCTGCGGCAGCATGGCGATACCAGTACTTGGTCTTTTCCACTCTGCGGGCTGAAAGTACCCACCAAGTACAAATGATTGTACTCCAAGGGTCAAGAACTATTCTGCAGCACACAATGCAGCACCTATTTATGTGTCATGAAGACAGGGCACAAGGCAGAATGACCTGCACTTATCTTCGGAGACTCGAGCAGCACATCCAGCTTAGCCAGTGCAGTGTCTCACAGTGATGAGGATAGTCCCAGAACACAAACACTCCCACCCTGAATCCCAGAGGACTTTATTCAGGATCCTACTGTTTGTCTCACATCTCAGATATAGGGATGCAAGATGTGACTCATGGGATCTATCCCACTTGCTCACACAGCAGCTTGAGGTACTTACTGGGTTGTGAGCTCCAGCAGAGGAATGGGAGACATGGGACTGGCCCCAACTGCTGCACTGCATCAGGCAAACCAGGGCTTCAGGAGGCAAAGGGGGAACCTGTCTCCATCTCATAGTTTTGCGCTGGGTTGGCTGATGGAGATGTGCCTCTGCTGGGAACCCACACAGCGTCTGGCCTGTACTCCTCTAGCAGGGGTCTGCTCCTTGGAGCCCAATTTTACATCCTAATGTTTTCTGATCCTGTCAGTTCATCTTACGCAGTAGATCATCAAGTGCCCTCTGTCACAGAGGCACAGAATAAATTGATTTGGGCCCCAGTCAAGGTAGATAAGCTAGCACTGTGTCATATTCCAAGCTACAGTAGCTCAGCACCTGGCACAAATGCAGCATAACATTTAGAAAGCATTTAAGACACACAGTCAGTTTTTTCATTTGATTCTCAAGCATGACTGCTTTATGTTTTACAGCTTGACCTTCCTGCAAGGGCTTTTAATATCCAACTTGATGCTGATGCTGTAGAGGAGTTTTAAACATCCACGTTTAGCCATAGGAAAAAGCCTGCAGTACAAAATCAGCACAGTGGGTCAGAGTCTGTTCCAGAAAGCTCACAGGAGAAAGAAGCAATGGGCGTTTTCACCCTCCCAAACCGCCAGTACAGCATAAGGTCTGCAGTGGATGCACTCTTCAGCATTCTTGGCAGCCCAGCCAGAGGACAGACCATCCACCCCACTCCCTGCAGCCCTGGAGAAGCCTTCACCGAATGACATCCCTTCCCCTGCGATCCCTTCCCTGTCCTGGGGTTACTGCACAGGGGACACTGCCAGCCTGCCAAAACGCACGACACGCTCTTGCTTGATCCGGATCAACCTTGATGATGAATCCCCAGAGGGATAACACACACCGCACAAACACAACTGCCTACATGAGGGGTCAGCTCATGGCTCTGCAGATAACAGCAGCGACAACTGCAGATGGTGCCTCCTTCTCTGGTCCAGGAGAGCAAAGAGCGCCCCTTCTTGCATCAATGTCTCTTCTGTGCTATGGCTTCTCTTGCCTAGTGCAAGAGTGGTCCTAGGCCAGCCCGCTGGGCATGAGGTAGAAGACTACTGTGGTTCTGATACACGGCACTGAATAAAAAGCCCAAATAGCTCATTTCCTTCACGAGGATCATCTCTGTAAGGGCAGAGACAGGGCAGAGAAAGGAGATGGGGCACAAAAGGAAGGATATTACTGGTTCTTGCCTCTACCCATCACCAAAGACACTCGTGGCTTACAGCAGTGAGCAGAGGAGAAGATGCAGGTAACCAGGGAACAAGTGGCTTAATAAAAGCAAATATCTATGACAAAACCAGCAAAATAAACAGGCTGTCAGGATCATTTCTACAAAGGAACCAGATGGCACTAAATACACCTCCTCTAATAAAAAAAAATCCACTGTTTCTCATAATCTGATAAGGTCCTGCAGCCCTAATCTCTTCATACTTTCAATGCCTTAAAAGAAAAAAGAACACAACAAACCAGAAAAACAGCCATGTCTGGGGAAACTGTGCTCTTACCAAATAAAAAATTTACTCTGAGAGTGAACTGAGATTAAAAGCAGATATTTTCCAGGAAGCTCAAGAACATCAGGCAAATATTTCACACAGAAACATTGCCTTAAGCCCTGTCACCGAGAACCAGAGTGAAAGAGAGAGTGAGGAAGTGCAAGAAAGACCCGATTCCCTTCTTGACTAATGTCAAGGTCATGCGAGGATGACAGTGACATGAAGCTCAGAGGATGCCTGCACATGACCCCATCAGGGCTGATAAACAACTCGGAACAGGAATGTTAACAGTGCTTTATATCAAGGAAGTGTCTTCATGGGCTGACGCAGCCCCATGTCACACTTAAAGGTCATTGGTTTTGTTGCTGTTGCCTGCAACATCCATTTCAATTTGGCTGAAAGCAGGATTGTCAGCTCCTTCTTGTGTCACGGTAGATGATACGCAGTGCAACTCTTCTGTGTTCTCTGCCTAAAAACCAAAGACAAAAACCATGCTGTGAAGGGGAAGAAACAGTCTTCCTGCCTTGTCATGCATGCAAGGAGAATCAGGCCTGACATTATTATCAGGATAATAATTGATGAACGCATTTAAAAGATCAGGCTGGACAACTACATGGAAGTGTACGTGAATGGATGCGACTAAGATATTCTCAAGGAAGAATGTATAAAGAAAAAACATAAATAATCCTGTTTGGCATTATAGTTCAGATACAGAGAACTGTTCTGTAAAAAGTTCTCGTCACATAAAATGTTATGTCCTGCAAAGTGCCTAAAGTATTTTGGGGTGTGCAAAGTTCTAGTTGCTCTTCTCATGTGTAGCAATCTTGTCACTACCAGATCCTTGAGCTACCAGCTCCCTATCCCTGGTCCTCGCCCCATCTTCAACATAAAGAGCAGATTAACACACATCATTGCTTTGATCATAGACTCATAGAAAAATTCAGGTTGGAAAAGACCCTTGGGATCATCAAGTCCAACCATTAACCCTACACTACAAGGTCACCCCTAAACCATATCACCCAACACCACATCTAAGCGACACTTGAACACATCCAGGGATGGTGACTCAACCACCTCCCTAGGCAGTCTGTTCCAGTGTCTGACCA